ATAAATAAATGCATAATTAATTAATAATGCAGGCTGATAATTAAATAAATTACACCAATGTTGGAGGATATGGAAGACGAAACCTGCAAAAACAAAAAAATAAATAAATATGCAAATATATAAATAAATGAGTAAATAAACCCATCAATTTTTTTTGCATAAAAAAATAATAAGTAAATAAATATACAAATAAATAAATAAATAAATGTATATACAAATCCACAAATGCCTGTATAAATAAATAAATAATTAATTAATAGTGCAGGCAGGTAAATAATTAAATAAATAAAATACATGGATGTTGGGGGGGTAAAACAATGCTATGTTGACCTGAGGAAAAGTAAATAGAACTACGTTGAAGATATTAATGAATGTTTGAAAGGGGGAAAAATAAACTTTTAGTTTAGCAGTTTATAATTCCTCCAACATTCATGTTACTCTTTTAATTATTTACCTGCCTGCACTATTATTTATTTAAATATTTATTCATGCAAGAATTTGTGATTTATTTTTATATACATTTATTTATTTGCATATGTATTATTTTATTTATGCGTGAATTTATGGACTTACTTACTCATTAATTTATATATTTGCGTATTTATTGTTTTTGCAGGTTTCGTCCTCCATATTATGGATGCACCAAAACAAGCAATCAATCAATAAAAAAAAAGTAAAATAAATAAATGAATACATTTCTGAAATATTGAAACGAAATGAAAGCCCATAATATGTTTGTTATTTTTATATATATTTTCCTCTATTTTAATATTCCTGTAACTTCCTCGATTTATGCTGTCTTAATAAACTTTGTGTGTTTGTTTATTATTGTATGTTTATTGTAATTATTATTTTTTTATTTTGCTTTTTGCTTTGATTTAATTGATCGAATTGATTATTGTCTTTGTGCAGAAACTCGAAAATCATAAGACTTGATTATTTACATGCAATTCAATTCACGCCACGAAATGCTTATAATGACCACTAGATGACGCTATTTCACAAATATTAAATATTGCCAACATTGAGCTTCTCTGATCCACGACTAAAACTTATGTGTGTGTGACATTTGATTGAGTGTCTTTTTTACTATTAAGTAGACTGAACTTATGTTAAAAGAGCCGTTATATGCATTAGAAGAATCATTCTGCTGGAACAAATAAGTAAAAAAATTGCAAGCTGCCACCCAGTGAATTAACGTTGTTCTTAGTGTTTAATTTTTATCTAATACAAATCAGGTGAACTGAATATTCACTCACGTCCATAACCATACTAGCCTATAGCTTACACTCAACAACAACAACAAAAATATCGTTAGGTTTGTTCAAAAAACTTATTTTAAATAATCTAAAACAACACAATTCTCGAGATTTTTGGATGGAAAACTTAATTTCTTCATGTTCGGTTCACTTACATTTGTTAAGTTAACTTAAACTATTTGTGTTGGGATAACATGAATACTATGTGTGGAACCCTGTAAAAGCATGTAAAACCATTTTACAGTGTATAATTCACCCGTTTGGATTTATTATTCAAGTTACAAGTTTTTTAAAAATAGTCCGATTTTCTTTATGTGAAAAGTCAATTGCATTTTTGAATGGAGATTTAAAATAGTCGAATAAAAATAATCAGATCAGGCATTATATAGTCAATACACGCTGTCCGTCACATAAACCTGAAAAATGTGCTCAATATCCTAACATGACTGCTATAATACTGACATTTAAGGTGTACTGTGTACGAAATTAAATCTAGGCCTGTGGTTTTCTATTGTTTTGTTCCCAAATAAAAAAACGCAGATGCATTCTAGAAATGCTGGGTACAAAAGTAACGTCTGAAAGTATGCTAGGTATTATCCTATAGCTATATGTGATTATGTGATGTGGAGTAACTAGGCCTACCTTTTAGCACAATTACGTCTGACTCAAATCTGGGGTGAAAAGGAGATCAGATCTGCATGCATTCTTACATGGACACGTAAGTGCTCTGTTTTATTTTCCAAGGCACTTATAAACGACTAGTGAGCAAATTAGGCTAAACCCAAAAAGAAAGATTTAAATGATCATAAAAATGAATGACATACAAATAGGCTATATCACACTACAGCTGTCCTCACAGGTTAAGATCTATGTACATTTTTGTTATGGACATCGGAATTGTGCATACACGTTTGCGCGTTTGGAGAGCTCAGTGTGCACATTTACGCAGGAGCACAATAAGAGTTAAAGTGCTGTGATTCAGAGTTCAGAACGCAAAGATTGATCGTTTAAGAGGCTTTTTTTGGATTTCCGATGCCACAAGATTTCCTCATATATCAAAATCGATTATAAACGTAGTTTACGTTTGAAACATTCCCAAAGTGCCCGAAAGATTTGCGCACTGATGCGTCACTTATTACCCAATTTTTAAAGCATTTAATCATTTTATTTACTCATTTCGTTTATATAAACGAGCAAAAACAACTTAAAGTGCTTTAAGGTGATAAATACATATACTATTCGTCTCTTCATCCCGTTGGCAAGGTGACGATGGCGTTCAAAGCGGTCGTCGGGTTTATATGCGGAGCGTCCAGTCCTGCAGATATTACTATGCTGTACGGGGTGGTTAATATGTAATTTGCACCATATGGCATTTTAAAAACCAACCTTATTTCCACAATCTTCGATCTGTGTGGATTTACCTAATGATGCCCAATTAGTCATTGAGCAGGACCAAGGATGAGGCTTGTGTGGATACTCTCTCGCTAATATTTGCTCTCCAAATATTTCCTTTGAAACGTTTACAACACATTTTATCTGCTGGCCAGACAAGGGACATCTGGGAGGGTTTTCAGCTCGCTATTTTTTATAAATAAAACCACAATTGGTTCACATTTGCCCCTCGGACTCTATTTGTTCATGCTTGAAAGAAAATGTAATAAAAGGGGCACCATGATGGATTTATGATTTATCAAAAGCACTTTACCATATGGCAGTCGTCTTTGGAGCAGGTTTTCAAATGTTTGCTTTAAAACAACTAAATCTGATTAACATGTAGCGAGGAAGGATGAAAGATGCGCCAGTCACGTGACCGCCGGACAGCCTCAGCCTCCAATCTCCAGTTCTACACAATCACGGTGCTCGTGGCCTCATGAAAGACTTTAATGTTTTCTAATGTTTCTTTGGAAGCTGACTGATTTCATATGTGAGCCTGTATACCACTCCCAAATTCACAACCTGCTAGGACCTGTTCAGAGCTTTGTGGTGCTGAAATGAAGCTCAAACTTGCTGCACTATTCGTTTTGGAAAGGGTGATCGTTCAAAACTCATTTATTATGCACGGTTTGTTAACTGAACTCAAATTCTCTATAGGTTAAATTAAAAAATCTCCATTACCTTCACAGAATGTTAACTCCATGTGCACAGGGAGCCTATTGAAACCGTTATATCATCCTCTTAGTGTGCACATAGTGTGCGAAATACACAGGAAATTTTTTGTCCGACTTCTGAAGTGAATGGATTTTTTCACGTAGGTCTTAATAAGATGCAAATCTTTTTAATCCAAATACATTTGTATGAATTATCTAAGTTTTTTAGAGCCACTGCCACAGTGCGTCAATCCAAAAGTTATTTTCAAATGAATAACTATTATTAAGGGGTTGGAAAGCGCACAGACATCATTCAGCTGAGCATCGCATGTAGTCATGATGGTACGTCTATAGTTATATCTTTACCTATGTGGACAGCCGCCTCTACGTCATCTTGATAAGGACTCTGGGTTATATATAAGAAGTGCGCGCGGGCGTCGGTGACTGCGGGCCACGCGCAGCGACGCATCTCCTTCAAGAAGAACATCTTAGACGTAAGATAATGACCTCACTTTTACACATTCGTTTTGTTTTTATTCTTGTGTTTAAATACAAGAATATGTATTTAATTTAAATGTTTACTAGACTATGATTCTGGTATTTTTCAAGGCTACCGGGTGCCCTTTAAGATGTGCGAAGAAAACTCTGATCAGGGAAATGAAGGTTGGCATTTGTTAATTCCATTACAGTTCCTAATTGCTGTAAATATAAAGATATAGTTTACAATAAAGAGACATTTTAATCCCCATTTACTGTCTGTCATGTGGTTCAAATCTAGTTTGAGCTTATTTGTATGTTTAACACAAACGATGGTCATTCAAAGAATAATGAGATGTTGGCGTCCATGGCAGGTAAACAAATAAATATTGTAGTGGCTACTGGTTTCCAACATTCTTCAAAATATCCTACTCTGTTCAACAGAAGAAAAACCTGTGGGGGGTAAAGGATGACAGGATGTTAAATTTTAATTGAATTATCCAAAATCAAAGAGGTGCAATATAGATCATTTGTTATTTCACCTTACATTGTTGCTTCTCTGATTTACAGATTGGGTTAAATTGGAACTTTTAAAATTCATAAAATCAAGTTAAATGAAAGTGATGCTAGTCTTAAACTTTTTTTTAGAGTATCTACACTTTAAATAACTTATGAAGACATTGAGTTGAAACTCTTTTTTTAAATGATGAATAAAATCAAAGTGATGCCAAACTTATAATCCGTTGTTTATTTCAGCTTAAAAGGGTAATTTAATGGCATAAGTGAGTCCATAGAATCAATTGAATTTTTGCCTTTCACAAAAAGATCCTTAAACCTAATGCCTTAACGAAAAATATTATTTAGATAATTAAAATGTTCCTCATACTCACAAATAAATGGTTATTTCATTACATTTAATTAATTTAATTTAATTAATACATTTAATTAATTAATTAATTGTTATTTAATTAACATTTAAAGGTTCCTTAATGAAATAAAAAAGAGCTTTTATTAGGAGTGTACCACTTATACTATAATCATTTATTTAACTGATAAAGAGATTGAGTAAAATCTTAAATAATTTAAATTAAAAATAAACAAATAATAAAAATAAATAAATAAATAAACCATAACACCAATTATTTCTAGGATGTTCAGCCAATTCTGCATGTAATACATGCGCAAACCTCCCAGCAATGAGATTTCTGTATATTTTTCAGGAGAAGGGAGTGTAAATCAGCTGGGTGGTGTGTTTCTGAACGGACGTCCTCTGCCTGTCTACAAGCGCAGACTGATGATTGAGCTGGCGACTGAGGGAATGAGACCATGTGAGATCTCCAGAATACTGAAGGTAAACTTCTCACCTTTACCCAGTGTTCCTGGTGATATCTATCCTCGAGTAACCATGTACTCCGGCAGGTCTCCAACGGCTGTGTTAGTAAGATCCTGGGCAGATTTCAACGCACAGGAGCCATTGGCCCTAAAGCAGTTGGAGGAAGCAGACCCAGACTCTTGACTCCTGAAGTCATCTCCATCATAGTTCAGCACAAGAGACAAAACCCCACACTGTTCGCCTGGGAGATCCGGCAAAAGCTGGCAACAGAGAGAGCATGCAGAGGAGATCAAGTGCCAAGTGTAGGCTACAAATTCTTTTATTTATGTATAGATAATGGATGGTCAGCAGTGATAGAGAGAGTACTGAAAAATCACACTTAGATAAAAGTACGATTACTTGCCCGAAAATGTAGTGCAAGTAGAGTCTCTGGGACAATGTGTGTAAAGATTTTGGACATCTACCTGGACACTTTTAACGTTTCCAAACAGTTTGCTTTAATTATTAATCGCCCATGTCTTGTTGTAGTTCATTACGATGCGATTTATCTTCTACGTGTGATTTGATTAGACAGGAATCACAGGACTAAAGAAAAAATTTAGTAGTGACTGCTTGTTGAAGGAAATTGGTGGAGTTAAAGTACCAAAACTAAAAATGTACTCAAGGGAAAGTCAAAGTACACATTTTAAAAGCTACTTAGTAAATTAAAATTTATGAGAAAATTTTTGAGTATAGTTTGAGTATTTGTAATTTGTTGCTTTACACCACTGGGGATGGTTTACTTCGAAAACATACCTGTTGTCATCATTTTCCCATTATTTATTCGTGTATGATTTTCTTTCTGCTGTGGAAAGGACATTTCTCAGTATAGATGTTAAAAGTCAATGATAAACAAAGTTAAAAAGAAAAATGATTGTCAATTGTAACCAAAAAACTTAAATTCCTACTTGAAAATATATCCTTATTGTAGATTTTGGAAAATGTTAGATTACTGCCCTTGAAACAGTTTATGAATGGCTTTTTAATTCAATGTCAGCAGGTGTCTTCCATTAACCGGATACTCAAGAAGATCCATCAAGATGAGGACATTGCATATCCAAACGAAAAACACTATCACACAGGTAATCTCTCTTATTCAAAATTCAAGTGCTTTTTACCGGCCTGTAGCCAGCCTGGTAAAAGTGGTGGTTCTTTTTTCTCTTTTTGCAGTTATAGATCTCAATTTCTATTTATTTGTGAGATTTAAATATGGCATTTTAGTGACATTTTTAGCACTGATTTTAGCTGAATTACATAAAGCTTGTCGGATGGTAAAATACAAATTTATTTCATCATATATCATTATTCAAAAAGGTAAGGGTTCACACTCATCAAGTAATTGCTTTTATTTCTACATTCTTTGGGCGATTCAAAAAAACCAACGTTTCAGCACAATGCCTTCCTCAGTGTGTGTCATATATCATTATAAAAATAGGAATCTGGTAAAGTTTTAAATTAAAAAACTATGGTCTATTGTCATTTTTTTGACAAATAACAAACTAGCTGGCACATTAAACTTTCCTCAATCAAAATTTGGCCATTTCAATAAACAATAATTAAAACATAATAATAATAATAATAATAATAATAATAATAACAATAATAATAATAATAATACAGTAGCAAAAGATGGCTTCACTTACATCAGACCCCCCCCCCCAGGACCCTTCCTGAGCATACAACAAACACCACAGCCACATTTGAACAGGGCTCCCAGGACAAAAGCACTAGTCCAGACTAAAGACAATGTAAGGATGCTAGACTTTTGCGCTGTGTACAGGTGTAGTAACGAGCAAACAAAGAAAACAAAACATGGAAGCATAACATTTTATGGGTAAGATTTCGTTTTTGTATGTTACGAAATTTTGTGCTAAACAAGTAACGATATTGATGATGCTACAGTCATACAGTGTAGTGATCCTGTGCAGTCTTACTGCACTGACCATAAGCCAAAGTAACACCAACTTGCAATAAATACTAGGCTTATGCTAGTTTTGTTGAAAAAAATCTGCAAACAATGTAAATGAAATATGACAACAAGACGCTGCGGTGCCAGAAACTTGTATTATTGTCGGCTAAGTGAAGTACCGGCTAGTTTTTGAAGTAACATATAAGGGTGCATGATAACATAACAGTGTCTGCGCCTCAATGTGCATACAGTCCACCCTAAATAACTGAATATTACAAATGTTATATACCATTTAGATCAGAAAGGTGGATCTGCACAATGAGATGCAGGGATATCGATGGTTCACAGGAGTCATTCATAACAGAGATTCATTCACAAACGTATCGCCCCCTCCGTTAGAATTAAACTGAAAGCAGGAGAGGGGGTGTGTTTCAGGACATTGATTAGATCAAATTTAACAGGGAGGGTGGATAATACATTTCCATGCACATAAACACGCACTTTGTTGGCAATGCCCGTGCCGTCACCTATCCATCGATGTTAAAAAGTGATGTAAAATTATAATTTTTGTAATTTAAAAAAATATTTGCATACAGACCACCGGCAAAACGTCTGATTGTAAATATATGTATAAATGTTTACCTATCTATGGCTCTGGATGGCCAGTCCTCCACTGCACCTTGGTGGCGGATTACCGTCTCACAGTTGAACGATGCAAAAATATGTGATATGTTTGCCGCGAACATATGAATTTGTCTCATTCGCGTCTTTCAGAAAGTTTACAGTCACCTGATACTGCGTTTTCATGTCGACAAACAGCGAAATTGCGTAGTGTAAAGTGCAGTTTTGAAAATACCCATGTTCGTGTGGACAGGACCTAATAAATAAAGACTCATCTGGTACTTCAAGTCGTCATGATCGTCAGTAAACACGTTCACTTCTATATTTATATGTTTGGCTGTTTGGTGCCATCTTGTGATGGAATTAATACGCTGGTTAGTGTATGCTCCATTCTGCTGTTTTCATTTCTGTCAGCTTTGCATTTAAGATTTATTTAACTATTACGGCTCAGGACATTGTTTTGTGTCAAATTTTTACGTTTTTTGACAAGTAGCCATGTGATAAGCAGGATAAAGTACATCTAGGTGGCTGTTTTTGATAACATTTCTTAGTCTTGTACTTACCTCTCTCCTTCACTTCCTGTCACTCAAGAACAACTGAATGTACAGAGCCATTTTCAGCAACAAATGAACACAAACTTGCCAAGAACTGCTCATCGAAGCAGAACCGCATTCACAGCAGATCAGAGCGGGAGATTAGAGAAAGGTGATTCAGCCACTTCAATCTCTCATAGTCAGTTCTGTGTTGACAAAAAGACATTATAACATCTCTTCTGATTTCTGATCAATCAGAGTTTACCTGTGGGCTTTATCCAGATCTGCTGACCAGAGAAAAGCTCGCAGAGGAGACAAACCTTTCACAGGACACTATCAAGGCAATTAAGATTTAAAAGTTAAAATGGTTGAACATTAGTCAAATGAAAAACAAATACATATCTGACTTGATTTTGATGTTTTGTTTGAAGGTTTGGTTCTCTAATCGTAGAGCGAGGATGAGGAGGGAGCGAAAGTTTGAACACAATGACTGTGGTAAGTGCTAATCTCTTGTTTTCTTAACAGAAGCACATTGACTGTATTATTAATGATGCATTCTTTGTAGGTATAGCTAGGCCAGGGTTTTTGGGAAACTGCAGGAATGCTTTGATTTCTCTGTCATCGACCGCTGGCTGCTCATTGGATGATTACAGAGCTCATCACGCACCATCTGCTTTTCCATTGGCCGCTCAAAGAGACAGAAACACTTTTCCATTGGCTCATTTGAACTCAAATGCTGTGTCGTCATGTTCATTTGATCAAACAGAGAGTTTGATGCCGATGTGTCACCATGGCAATGAAGAATTGGCTTACCGATTGGTATCACCGAACATAGATGAAAGGATCCTACTGGCTAATGGCACACAGTGGATGAATCATAAAACCTTGACTGGACAAAATATTCCAATGTTTTGAATTCCAAAGAAGAACATTGAGGTTATGGGCAGTAGAGGGCGGCAAAGGAAAGAAATTGCAGCATTTGCTGCGGAAGGTGATTTACTTTTAGACAATATTATCTCTTTCTTGCTTCATGAACAATGCTAACAAAAATTTTGATTGTATTTCTATGTTAAATGTTGTTATTTTTATTAAATGGACTAGAAACGTAAAAGCTGTCTGACTTATTTATCCAGATGAAAATGACTGTATTAGAAAATAAGAGATACAATGAGAAATAGGAAAGAAACCTATGCTGTAATCAATCAATCAATCAATCAATCAATCAATCAATCAATCAATCAATCAATCAATCAATCAATCAATCAATCAATCAATCAATCAATCAATCAATCAATCAATCAATCAATCTGTTGTTGATTTTTGTCCAATACAGTGACATATTAATCAATAATAAAATTTGAATTATAAATTAAATAATAAATAATATTAAATATTTAAAACTGACAATGTGCACAAATATATTATTAATGCATGAAATATATTAACAATAATATATGAGTTTTAGAATGTATTTAACACTTTTTACTGTAAGATTTGATTCATTAATGGTATTAGGTAACGCACTCACAATATATTATACTTCTAGAACATTTAATATTAGTTCTTATGATACAGACAATATTCATTATTTATAGGCCTACATTTAAATACATGAATAAAAACTTAACAATAAATGTGTATTTTTATTAAATACTTCTAACATAACTACATATGTCATAAGTTGAAGTTAGTGAATGCATTAATTTTACAAATAAAAAAAAAAGAATTAAGTGTTTTCATTTATTATGTTTTATTTAATCTCAGAAAACAAACTCATATACATTTTCCTTAAGAACACGTACGGAAAACTTAAAAAGCAGCAATTGAGCAACGAAAGTTACTGATTAAATAAATTAACTTACTGACCCTTTTCTAATTCTTTACTGACATACTGACGTACTGATTCTTTCACGTAAGAGCTAATGCAGATATTGTAACCTTACGGATTCGAGACTTCCGGTCTTATTCACTTCCATTGTGTTTCAACCAGTTCATTATTCTGCTTGATGTGGCAATCTGGTATAAACTGGTTCTTATTATATCATTTACTATTTTTGTGTATAGTTATAAACACATTTATAGTTTATATATAGTTTATTGTATTGTTTATAGCTGTTTCCCTCATATGAAAATTTCCAAAAAGAAAAAAGAACTTACTTCTACATTACAGAATAAGCTCAATAGGTGTTCTTCAGAAAGAAGATTTGCTGAAGAATATCAATGTGCAGGAATTGGGGGGGAAATGCCAATTATGTGACTATATGGACATGGCTGGTAGTACAGAGAATGGTGTGAAAAAGAAAAAATAAGAAAATTATTAGCAGTGCTGTGGGTGAAAATGCTTTTTTAAATCAGAGGTCATCACCAAAGTCAACCAATAGAAAGACAAACTCAAATAACCACTTATTACAACTGTGGTCTGCAGAAAAGCACATCAAACCTTGAAACAGATGAGCTACAGCAGCAGAAGAAGAAAACACCAGACTTCTGTCAACTGAAAATACATAGCAAACGAAAGAAAAAGTGGACAATAGTAGATTGGAAAAGATTTCCTGTTTTGATGAGAGTCTTGGAGGGTTACGATATGGTATAAGCATAAAAAACATGGATCTTCATCAGCTCTTGCAAGTTACTAGCACAGCGTATCTAGTAAAGTGGCTGGTAAGTGTGTAATGTCATTTATTCATTCATTCATTCATTTTCTTTTCAGCTTAGTCCCTTTATTAATCAGGGGTCGCCACAGCGGAATGAACCACCATCTTATCCAGCTAATGTTTTACACAGCGGATGATCTTCCAGCTGCAACCCATCACTGGGAAACACCCATACACTCTCATTCTCACACTCACACATACACCATGGACAATTTAGCTCACCTATAAATCACCTATAGCACATCTATGGACTGTGGGGGAAACCGGAGCACCCAAAGGAAACCCACACCAACACAGGAAGAACATGCAAACTCCACACAGATACACCAACTGACCCAGCCGAGGCTCGAACCAGCAACCTTCTTGCTGTTAAGCGATCATCCTACCCACTGCGCAACCATGACGCCTGAGAGTAATGTCATGCATATTAAATACAGTATAATATATTGCGCTCTCTCTCTCTTTCTCTCTCTCTCTCTCTCTCTCTCAGACCACCTCTGTCAGCTCAGGTTGTTCTGGTAAGAAATCTCTCCTGTGAGCTTTGGCTGGGACTCGCATACTTCTACACGGTAAGTGAACAAGATCAACACTTGGACACAAACCAGAATGCTTCAAGCACTAGCAGGGAGTCTGGACAACACTGACAAACATGCAGAGGTCAAACTAACAGGCTTATTTCTAATATAAATGCAATTAATCTAAAGATCTTACTGTTTATTTCCAACTTTTTACCACAAGTGTACTTCGTTAAGCCTAAAGTAGATACACTTGGAATTTTAACCCTATGTAATATCGAATGCATGCAACTTGACTTAAGTATATATATTTTTTACACTGTTGAATTCACAGCCTCTTATAGCGTACTCTGTTTGATAGCTTGGATGAAAGATTGAACTTTTTCCAGTGCGTATAGCAGTTATGAGTGATAAAACGGTCATAAATTTGTTCAGACAAAATATGTGGTTATCATTGAATTATTATGCGCTCTTCAATGATGACATGTATTGTTTTTAACATCTTAAATAGTTTGATTGTGTTTTTTTCAATTGTAAAACAGCCATGTTCAATGTTGCCACCTTCTGGACATAATAAGTACATATGAGTTGTTTGTAGGAATTCATTGATTCATTCATTTTCATTCGGCTTGGTCCCTTAATTATCAGAGGTCGCCACAGTGGAATGAACCACCATCTATTCCAGCATATCTTTTATGCAGTGGATGCCCTTCCAGTCACAAGCCAGTACTCGGAAAGTTCGAAGAAATTTTTAGTTTTTAAAAAATGGTTGGCACATGTACAATATAAACATAGTATTTCATTGACAAAATCATGCACACTGTATGTGGCCCCTTATATATAAACAAAAATGGAATGCTTTGTTGGGCTTTCAATAGTGTGCGCACAGCTTGCACATGTACTTTGATTGTTTTCACACTATTTATTTTGTACACAAGGCAGCAACACTCAACCTGGCTATTGTTTTAATCGAGAAAAACAACAACAGAGGACAAAAAAAAGACAAATCTAAAACAAAGTTTTAATGTTGTCACCTTGTGGGCAAAATAATATGCAAAAAATAAAGTGCATGAGCACGCTGGACAAAATGTTGTACACGCTTACTCTATGTGCAGATGAAATTCGCTAAAATGAAAAATACTTGTTTATCTGCCATGTCATCACTGAACCAGGCTATTGTTTCACAGCTGTTATAGAAACGACAACAACAAACAAAGGCTGAGTCTGGAATTGCATACTTCAATACCATATAGTGTGTTAAAATAGTATGTGAGCTGAGTAGTATGTCTGAATTCGAAGTATTCGAAAAACAGTATGCGAAAGGACCAGCAAGATTCTGAAGTGTGCATCCAATTAATGCTACACTATCCCATGATGCCACGCGGGAAAATGCATGAATGGGAGTGAAGAGACGCAACTGACACGGTTAAGTCACGGCTGGAACACCGCCCTGGGTAGGTGTCTAGGGGGCATCTAAAGCAGATGCCCGAGCCACCTCAGCTGACTTCTCTCGATGTGGAAGAGCAGCGGCTCTACTCCGAGCTCCTCCCGGGTAACATACTACTCACATTTATACCGTAGTACATGTAGTATCTGCGAAGTAAATTTAAATTAAAATGTAGAACATATTCGAGTAGCGGGTGATTTCGGACGCAGTCTGACTTCTCATTTCATTAAAAAATGCCTCAGTGTAGCCTCCTAGTGGACAAATTAATTTGTTAAAATATTCAAAACACATGTGGGCACACATACACGTACACTTAAAAACCAAAGTATACTTTGGGGTCATAAAGATCAAGCACATAAGCACATCTATAAAGAAAATATGTAACACTAAAATGCGCAAAAATAAATAAAAGATTTAAACCAGCCTTTACACAAGTGTTAACAAATCACTCAAGCAGAAAAACGACTGAATGATTAGTGTGCTATGGAAATGTGGTTTTACTGTACATTGGAGTCTTCCAAACGATCAGACATTTGGTGTCTGTTCTAGTGGTTTTCAACTCTTGTCCTCTGGGACTCCGCGACTGCATAATTTGTTCCAGCTTGCACTAACACATCTGATTCAACAATAATCAGCCGCCGCTGGATTAATTGAATCAGGTGTATTAGTTTAACCTCACATGGTGGTGAAAATCCATCAAGAAGCTGGAACTCAAACTTGCGTATTCATGAGAGAATCTGGGCCATGATTGCTTCAACATATACTGTCCGTCTGCTCCCGTTTTACTGAAGTTACTGCTTTGTAAACTCAGTTCACTTTTCAACAGTTTGATCTCTGACTTTTGACCTCTGCTGATTTAAGGGCCCTGAAGGAAACAGGAAACTATTGGTTTGGGTCTGTGTGACCTTTTCTTTTTCTCACACGTTCTTTTCTATCGCCCGTAAGAGGGGTTTGTAATCATCAGCTATGGGTCGTTTGAACACAACCTGCTGAAAGCGAACTGACACGCATTTAGTGGATTGAAACATCAGAACAGAGCAAATGGAAACCATCAGGCTGTGGGTCACAGTGTCAAAATGCTAGTATTAATGATTAGCCACTTATTATCGGTGTTTAGTATCCACTTTTTATTTTTCTGGTTATGGTTTAGCAATCTTATGTGCTTTTGATTTTTTTTTATTCACGTTTCTATTCAGCTTGTTTTGATTATAGTTCCGTTTAGTGTAAATAGTTAATAGTTAATTTAAAATGCAACATTTAATATTATTTAGCAAAAGTTTTGAACATTTATTTTTAATTTCAGTTTGAACAAATACCATGGACTATTTTAACACTCTAGGCACAAAGTCCAAAGCGCATGGCACAAGCAGGCATGTTTGAATCCACTGTTTGTATTTTAAGGACGGAAAATTTGCTCTGCACCCTGGCGCATGGTATAACAGGGTTGTGCGTATTCTCTTTATGGGTGTTATGGGTGTGTTTTGACTTTTGAGAATAAACCAATCAGAGTCTCATCTCACATTCCCCTTAAGAGTCAATTGTGTCGCGCCATAGCGCATTTGCTATTTACATGGCAGACTTTGAAAGTGTAAAAACTGAATGCTTCACTAGCGAGAAAACAGTTATACAGACTATCTGCAGCACATAGATAAAGAAGAAGCTCCGACCTCTTTTGAAAAAACACAATCTCATTTGAATTTAAAGCACAGTTGCACAAGTAGGATCAAAGCCTAAAAGGGGCAAATTCAAAAAAGTTATAAAACATTATTTGTGTGGTGTTTTGAGCTAAAACTTCACATACACACTCTAGGGACATTAAAGACTTATTTTACATATTGTAATAAGGGGTATAATAGGTCCCCTTTAAACCTTATCAACATTATTAAGTACAAGCTGAGTGACTGATATTTGTTAGTTTGGCTATTTTATTGTTATGATCTGAGGTAAACTATCTGCTGCCACTTTCAGAATGGCAATAAACGTCTTGTAAATGGGTATTCAAACTCACATTTGTGGCCTTTAACACTGAATAAAGCTTATAATCAGCACCTGAGGTGATCATTGTCATAGCAGTTTATGCTGTTGTTCAGATGCAACGATGCAAACTGTTTTTAAAACAGAACATGTCGCTGTAACAGATAGTTAGGGAAAATATGTACATTTTATCACAAGTCGGAGTGTCAGGTGTAGTTAGAACATGGTGTAAACTAACACAATTCTGACGTTTGTTAGTTTTTTTGTTAGCATTAATGAACTAAAAGTTACGAATTCATTTTCAAAAGCGTTGTGTTTCTCAAACACGTTCCATGTGGACCACCAGCTCTGCACATTTGCCATGTCTCCATAACCAAACACACCTGATTCAGATCATCAGCTCATTAGCAGACTGAAAGACCTGTAATGGGTGTGACAGACAAGGAAGACATCCAAAACATGCAGTGCTGGTGGTCCTCCAGGAATATGGTTGAGGAACACTGGTTTAAAAGGAACTGCAAAACTACAAACGTCCAAAAATGTATTTTTAACGATTTAATTATTTACAAATAAAAAAAAAACAAAATGTCACAGATGTATTTACATACATTTTTAAAAGTTGAAAATACAAAACAGTCCTAAAAATAATGTCAAAAATAACAGCAGCCTAGATATTCAATAAAACGACCAATGAGGGCAGCAGCGCAAAGAGGAATTACATTAACTGCGAAAATCAATAAAACGCCACAAAAACAGGCACTTTTCTGTATACACACAGCGAACACAACATTTAAATCAAAATACATTCTTGTACTTGTAAAAACCTTGTAAAAACCCTGCCTGTGCGTTACTCTATTCAGTACTGCAGTTTGATGAAGTATCTTTGCACTCATGGCTAAACTTGTTCTTAAAAGACCCTCCGCATGTGTGGCTTTTAAACCTTCAGGGAGTCGTCTTTGAGTCGAAGCGCTCTGTTATGACCCAATATTTTCCTTCAAAGACATATCATCCGTTTGTTTTGTTTACAAATGTTATGATTCAAATCTGCACGCCAGATTAAACACAATAAACACTACTGGAGGATGAAATGCCACGGCTCGGGTCCATCTATAAAAGGTATAAATAAATACCGCGTATAAAATTTCGACAGATATATATATAAATTACACCATGTGAAAGAAAAGACCTCCAAATGTTTGTAATTTCAGATCTATAAGACCTACAGAGTGACATTTTAGCACACTCTTTAGAGTGCAGTACATAAAAAAAGAAAACAGCCCCAAAGGAGCCACAAAATCTCTCCAAACTGGAGTAAGGCAAGGTGCGAAACGTTAGACCATCACCGAAACATTCTGGAAGTGTCTGATAATGCCCCAGATAGGCGTTTATAAACCAACGGCAGCGCATATTGCGGTTTGCAATCTGATTTCTTTAGTAACCAATGTTAAAAAAGGTGTTTTGGAAACAGTAATACTGAATCTAGTCCTTAAAAGCACTGTAAAATTCAGCAAGCTGCAAAAAACAAAAACCGAAAATGTCGTCTTCAAGTAATTCCAGGGAATGACATTAAGAACAACATCTGCTTTCACATGGATGAACGCCACAGTTCATTCATCATCTGTCCTTGATTTCTCACCAGCCACAACAATCTCCTAAAAAAAGTTCCGATGTTGTCATTTCCTTCATTTGTTCACAAACACATCGATAATCTTGCACCTTTTCTGTACCAGTGGTTATTATGCAACATCTATACACCAAAGCAAACTTTAGCCTCCAAAATGTTTGAATGCTAATCGTCCTTCACGATGTAGATGCTAAACCATTTAGTCTTATTTACCACATATGGAGATCTAGTAACTTATTTCCATGTCTGAATAGTACTTGAAGACCTTGCGGATCCATTCAGAGTAGAAGGCCACGTTGACGAAGACAGCAGGACGTCTCGCTACTGCACAACCACGGCCGTTGATGCTGACGCCAACTATCACTTTGCTCTCTCCTTCCTGGCACACCAAAGGGCCACCGTAGTCTTTCTGCAAGAGGGAAACCAATAATTATTTTTTTTAATCAGGTGATAAAAAATGCTATACGAATATTTATTTAAAAAGGCTTAAAATATACTTGAGTAACAGGAAAAAAACTACAGCATTTAACTTCAGAATTTAAAATAAAAGATTTTTCTTTAATCATAATGAGTTATACTCTAACACAATATTCATTTAGTACTCAAAGTAAGGTTTAATTGATTGTCAAAGTAATTTGACAGATATTATAATATGTTATTGCCAAATCTTAATTATTATCTATAAATTATTTCAGTACTGGATTTTATTTGCATTCAAACATTCTGCTGATACACTAAACAAACATATTTTAAACAGATAATGGACATACGGCTATGGAAAAAACATTAACAGACCACTTAAAAATTCTCAGTTTCTCTGTATTTACTGGATATTTTTAGCTATGGGTTTACGTAAAATGTCTTATAATTTTTTTCCCCAAATTTGAAGTACAAATATTGTCATTGAGTTCTTCTTCCCACAGAAACTGTCAGTTGGTCCTAAAATAATTTTTTTAATCATTTTTGTGATTGAAAATCAAGTTTATTCCAACAAATGCTGAAAATACATTTATAAACATTACAGCAGTTATTTTATGCAAAAATAAAGTTAAAAAAGCAGCTTAAAAAGCAGTTTACAGTGTAAAACAAAAACATAAACTATGAACTGTAAATCCAAAGAAACTGATGATTGGTTCTTGCAAGTTAAGCACTTAAAATTAATTGCGTGTTTACTATATGTAATGGAAGAAAATATATGTAAAATGTATTTGGTACTATTTTAAGCAGTAAAAATACTGTTTATTCTTCAAGAATTACTATAATTGTGTATTTTATATATATATATATATATATATATATATATATATATATATATATATATATATATATATATATAATTATACAATACATTAATTATCAATTTGAACTTGAAATGTAATGGAGTACAGTTCCACAAAACGAATACTTAAAGAATAGTAACATTTACTCATCATTTCCTCTCCCTAAAATGAATCCAAACTTTTATGAGTTTCTCTATTCTTTTAAACACAAAAGCAGATATTTTGAAGAATGCTGAAAACCCGGTAGCCATTAACTTTCATAATAAAAAATATATTAAAATGGAAGTCAATGGATACTGGCTTATTTATAAAAATATTTTCCTTTCTGTTCAACATAAGTAAGAAACTCAAGCAGGCTCAAACAAGTAGAGATAGTTTTTGGGCGAATTAGCTCTAAATTCAGAAATCAGGTACCTCAAATTACTCTAGTATTTTGCACCCTTAATAAAATCCACAATCATGGAACAAAACTGAAACTCCTGAGAGAAATGGATGTGACTTGTACCTCACAAACGCCCTGATCTCTCTTGCCTCCAGCACAGATTTTGGTCTCGGTGATGGGCAGGATGCCATTGTGGCTTTGTGAACACCTCTTGTTGCTGACAATTGGAAGTCCCACCATCTTCAGACTGCCCTCGTGTCCTGTGCCTAACAGAGAGGAAAGAGAGTCAGCTTTTAAGGAAATGTAATGGTCTGGAAACTCAACTTATCAATCTTAAATAACAACTCAGACTCTTGATTTGCATAAAGCGCCTTAACATGTGTTTATTACGTATAAAATATACACATAAATATAATATTATCAACCCATATTCACAAAATCAATCTGGAAGAATAGAATAGAATAGTACCTTTAGTGTCTCCCCATCCATACATGAGACACAGAGTGCCTTCTGCAACAGCACAGCCAGCGACCGGAAGCTGAACAGTTCGCACATGCTCAGAGAGAGGGGCAGGCCTGGGCATAAGACTATGAGTTACCATCAGGATGGCTGGCTGGATGAGAAGATGAATGGGCAGATGGATAATCGCACTTACGTTGTGAGTTTGAGCAGGGCCAAGTTGGATCCCTCGGGCCCGCAGACCACATGTGCGATTCGGAGAGCCTGCGTGCCGGCGGATGCATTGAGATGAAGAAGCCCCACCTGCACGGTGTACTCGGAGAGGTCAGGAACGCTGAGGAACGTGCAAAAAAACATCATATATAAGCATAAATGTCAAACGCAGAAGTTCCACGACAACTAAAGTATGAAATTATCTGAGCAGAATGGTGATAAGTCATTTGAGCTTTTTCGAAAATACAGTCAAGCCAAAAACTGCTCAAAACTGTTCAGCGATTCCCACAGTATCACATTTTATGAGCTATAGTTTAGAAATTAGTAATAAAGTATTATAAAACTTACAGATTCATCTTGATAATGTCAGATAAATCATTTATTTTCTTGTCGGCTTAGTCCCTTTATTAATCTGAGGTCTAAAAATAATTCATAAATAAATAAATAAATAAATAAATATATATATATATATATATATATATATATATAGTTGAAGTCAGAATTATTAGCCCCCGTTTATTTTTTTCCCCAGTTTCTGTTTAACGGAGAGAAGATTTTTTTCAACACATTTCCAATCATAATAGTTTTAATAACTAATTTTTAATCTGTTTTATTTTATCTTTGCTATGATGACAGTAAACAATGTTTTACTATATAATTTTCAAGACACTTTTACACAGCTTGAAGTGACATTTAAAGGCTTAACTAGGTTATTTAGGTTAACTAGGCAGGTTTGGGTAATTAGGCAAGTCATTGTATAAGGATGGTTTGTTCTGTAGACTATTGGGGAAAAAATTGCCTAAAGGGGCAAATAATTTTGTCCTTAAAATGGTGTTTAAAAAATTAAAAACTGCTTTTATTCTAGTCGAAATAAAACAAATAAGATTTTCTCCAGAAGAAAAAAATATTATCAGTAACACTGTGAAAATTTCCTTGCTCTGTTACACATCATTTGGAAAATATAAAAAATCATATATATCAAATATAATATCATTTATATATTTGTAGGTTCACCCTTAGCCTCAGAGTAAGACAAAGCAAACTTGTTTTGTGGATTTTAAAGGTGTCTAATAGATATCCAAACATACATGTGCTGGCTAATTCAAAGCTAAATTTGGTCAGTAAAAATCTAGACATATAGCAATAGGTTGTTGCTAGATTAGAGAGGGATGCGGCCGGAAGTTAACAAGAATTATTTATATTATTTATTAAATTTCCCATTTATTGTACTTTATTAATGTCTATTCCCACCTCAACCCTAAACCCAACCATCACAGTACTGTAAAAATGTATTGTTATATGGCGTCATAATGAATGCTACTATAATTGATGTACATATCACCCTTCCGGTCAGCCGTGTATCCGATCAATAGACATATAACAATAGTCCAAAAATAGACTAGTCATCAAATAAGCAGGAATGAATGAGGGTATGAATGATGTAGACAATCTCCATATTTTCTGGCAAAAATAATACCTTTCTGTAATGAAGTTTTGTTGGAAATAGAAAAGATTTTAGAATACAAATACCAAAAGACTTTATTACAAATTATTATTTATATATTAATATATAAATATATTAAGTGTGGCTGGCAAAAAGAGGATTACCAGGTATTGGTATGAGCATGGCAGACCCTCGATTGATGATTTGATAGAAATAGTGAACGAAATAAGCAATATGGAAGAATTGGCATTTATTTTGAGACTTAAATTGGACTTACTTCTACAACATTGGGAGAAATAGATTGATTATAGCAGTTTTAACAACTGTTGAATGCATTGAATCTGGAACAATGTAAAGCCCCAATGTTAAGTCTTTTACTAATTTATTATTATTATTATTGTATTTATTATTTCACATGGAATATTTGAAAATTGTATACTTTTAAATGTAAAATGTTCTGTTGTAAATTTTTTAAAAGTTGTCAATAAATTAAAGTAATAAAAATAAAAGCATCCATGAATGAATGAGTACAAATGTGAATTCTGTCTTATATCTAGCTGTTTCCATGTGTTTATTGCCTCATTACAAACATAGCCATGTTTTTTTTTCCTCTTTACACAAAAATGTGGCAAATTTCACAATATACATGTTACACTAACAAAATATTTAAATAGAATTTAGGCCTCTAATCTGTATATCCTGCATTTTGCATTTTGGCAAGCTGTAACCAGATGACACTCCATGGTCATAAATGGCTGCCAACTTTACACAACTGCTTACTCTTGATTAAAGCTTGTCCCATTTTCAGAATAAGAGTCCCACATAAATATAAAGTATAATACAAGCTTAGATAAACTTAGAATGACTACACATGTGAAGTCTGTCTTATATTTAGCTATTTCCATGTGTTTGTTGCCTCATTACAAACATACACATGTTTTTGCCTCATTACAAATATATGTGGTTAATTTCACAATACACACGTTAAACTAACATAAGATACATTTAAACAGTACTTTAGAGTACTCTAATCTGCCTCTAATCTGTATATCCTGCATTTTACATTCTGGCAAGCTGTGAACAGATGACACTCCATGGTCATAATGGCTGCCTACTTTACAGAACTTTTTACTCTACCTTAAAGCTTATCCAATTTCCAAAATAAAAGTCACACATAGCTAGTAAGTACATGCAAAGTCTGTCTAATCTGTCTATTTGACATTTTTGGACTATTGTTAGATGTCTATTAGATTTTTAGTGAAAGCCCAAATTTAAACTTGTTTTAGCCAAAATGTCTATGTTTGGATGTCTATTAGATGTTTTTAAACACTTCAAAAAATGTATGCTCATCTGCTGCTGAACCAGATTCATGCAAGCCTGAACTTCAATACTTTTTCCAGTCTCTCTGCAGCAACTTCTTCATTTCCAGTTGTTTTTTAGTCCACTGTTTGAAGAACTTTTACACATATGTCAAGGTTTACTTTATTTTGCTATCCTCACTTGCATAAATGAACTACGGTGACCTACACCCACTCGTAAAAAAATATCAAAAATTGTGTCGGAATAATTTCTTGGTTTGACTGTATCTAATGTGGATCACAGGCAAAGCAGATAAACATGAGATATATAAGTTGGAGAGCGTCCCTGGTAAAGTCATCTCCACTTCGGATCAAGGCAGAGAGGTCAGTACTAGCATCCAGTCCGCGTCTTCATGCAAAGCACAAGATAGCTGAACCCACCAGGGAGCGGATCTGGGGAATGTAGAGATGATCTAAAAGCCAGACACGCTCACTTTCGTTCTCCTCCTGTCCCCCTTTTTCCCCTCAAACTAAACAGAGCCAGCAGGTTTTCACTCAAGTGCCACTGAAGCAGATCCACAGGCGTATATCATGCAGCCGAACACCGAGGCTAAACAGATGCACCACTGACAGAGCGGAGAGCCATCAGTCACAGTTTGAGCGGATCTGTCACTGCTCTCTCTTAAACCGGAAACTCGGGATCCGCACGTCTCGTAGAAAACATCAACTGACAGATGGGAACACAAGGCCGGGATGAGCCAGAATCAAGCACGCCCAAGTAAATGAGGGCAGCCCAAATGTGGTTTGCATTGACAAGAGAGCACGGCTAAATGATAGGGAATGGAAGATGGATTACCAGGTGGAGAAGCACTGTTGATCAGTGAGAACCCATTCTTCTCTGATGAGAGAGCCACCGCACCAGTGTCTGTTCCTGCAGGAGGAGAATCAGAA